AGAGAGGGTCACTGCACACTGCACTGGGGGAGAGAGAGGGTCACTGCACACTGCACTGGGGAGGGAGAGGGTCACTGCACACTGCACTGGGGGGAGAGGGACACTGCACACTGCACTGGGGAGAGAGGGTCACTGCACACTGCACTGGGGAGGGAGAGGGTCACTGCACACTGCACTGGGGAGGGAGAGGGTCACTGCACACTGTACTGAACCCCACACTACACTGGGAGAGGGTCACTGCACACTAACGTTAATCTATAACTAACACGCACTGCACACTAACGCTGTACCCGTGATACTCCAGAGACTGGCGTGTTCCCACGTCACTGCGGAAGGAGCAGAGTCCGGGGATGAGCTCGAAGTGGGTGACACGGCAGCGCTCAGTCTAACACACAGCAACATGCACTCTCAGTCAGCGCAGGACAGTACGTTACGGTACGGTAGGAGTGAATGCCTCGCCTTCATGGCCTTAATGGCGTCCCAGCCGTCCTGGACCGAGCGGATCTCCTCGAATTCGGTCTGGTGCGGAAGCAGGAGCTGGTTCAGGATCTGCAGGGACCCGTCCCGGTACCGGATCGCTTCCAGCGTCATGGCGCGACAGCAAGACGAATTTCTCTCCAATTGTCGCTACGGTAAATGTCAACGGAGTACTGTGCGCTGGAGGTCCAAACTCAAGAGTCCGAAGACAAAGGACGCGTTCCGTTAACGTGGAAGGAAACCGACGACAAATATAACAGAAAAATCCACTCTGACACACGGAACCACGTGTTCTTCCAGACAGGAAGCAGACCCCCCCTCCCCGAATCAGCACGAGAGGTGCGGCGAGCCCGGGGTCACGTGCACATAGAGGCGCGTTCATAGAGCCGAGTGACGGTACAAATGAATAGCGCGAGGGATTGTTAAAATTAACAAGACTTCGGGGGAAAATACTTGCAAATCATCACCCGGTCACACTTCTGTATGTGGGATGTTACAGTTCTTATGTAAACTAACCCATAATCCCTTAAAATACATTTCCCCCCCAAATTCGTATTTACAAAACGAATCCATTACAACAGTAATTAGTAATTTTAATGGTTTACTTTATAAAAGTATCTTTCCGCAATTATTAACATGTACAGGAGCTCCTCAGTGTCACGGTGCTCAGCCCAGACCACACACACGCAGCTTGGACAAAATTAACACACACTCCTGTCCACACAACATTCAACACACACATTTACCCCACGACCCACAGCACAGAACAGGTCACACTGGGCTCTGCATTAAATCAAACGCCTTCAATTACTTTTTATTTCACAATGTTTTTTTTAATATTCTATTCATTTTATAACAACATTTCATAGCAATCTCGTCATACAAATCTATCCCAGCAGCCCCATTATTATACAGAATATTCAGGAGGAGCAGAGGAAGCCAAGGTAGTGTTTGAGCACAGAGACCTCGTTCAGCAGCTCAGCCACTGAAGCGCAGCCTTTCCCAGTCTGATATTCCCGGCATTCAACAATCCTGATGTCTGATATTCTAGGCGTGTGGTTTTTCTGGCCTGTGACACCTGTGACACCAGCTATCCTGTGAACCGGGTCACAGCGCCGGGCAGCTATCCTGTGAACCGGGTCACAGCGTCGGGGAGCTATCCTGTGAACCGGGTCACAGCGCCGGGCAGCTATCCTGTGAACTGGGTCACAGCGTCGGGGAGCTATCCTGTGAACCGGGTCACAGTGACAGGGTCACACTGCACTAGTGGGTGCAGGAGGACTATTTCTATATATACCAGTGTCTGAAAACTCAGGACAGGGTTTTGTCATGGATGTTTTCAGTGTGACACTGCCGCTTATTCCTGGTGTCGAGCAGGAGGGAGAGCGCCCACATCCCAGCAGCACCCTGACGTGGAGAATCGGGGTGACAGAGCCCAGTCTGGACCCGGCCCCTGCCCACGGGACCCCACTGGCTCAGGCTGCTGAGCGCGGTCCTGTGGCTGTGCAGAATCTCATCAGAAACCAGCCCCGAACATGTAGTGCAAAAACAAGCAGACCCTACTCTCAAAGTAAAGAGTCAACACCCCCTACTCTCCCTCTGAAAAGGAACAGGAAGGTGTGTGTGACAGGCGGTGCAGTTGTGAGTGTGTCTGAGACAGTGTCCCTCCTCACTGAACCGGTAACTCCCGACAGACAGCTGAGGGGTCCTGACTAGGCCAGTGACGCATGTACAAACCTGGAACCTGAAGGAGCCCAGGCTGTTTGTTCTGGTCTGTCGTCACCCCATGTGGAGTCTGATTTGGGGTTGTAGCGAACAGCCAGGTGCATTAAAATGAGGGTCCCACAGAGACATGAGTACAGGCGTGTGTGTGTAGACTGCTCTATGCCAGCGTGTGTAGTGTGTAAAGTGTGCATGTGTACCAGTGTGAGCGGGCTTGTGTCAGCCTGTGAGCGTGTGCACCTCAACGTTAGCATGTACCAGTGCTTGCGTGTACTAGTGTGCATTCCAGCGTTAGTGTGCACCAGCACGAGTCATCATTCACGTGTACCAGTGTGTGTGTCAGTTAGTGTGTACCAGTGTGCACATCGGCATTAGCGTGTCCTAGTATGCAGGTCAGTGTTAGCATGTCCCAGCTTGCACATGATCCCAGCTTTGACCTCAGGAACCTTCCTCCACTGCCACCCTCCCCTCAATTCAGACTGGACGCCTCTTCCCCAGGTATTCGATCTGTGAGAGAGAGAGGCAGACAGATTTTTCGTGGTGTGGATCAGCAGGTACAGTGTCTGGTTCACCAGATACAGCGTGTGGATCAGCAGGTACAGGTGTGAAGATCAGCAGGTACAGTGTGTGGATCAGCAGATAAAGGTGT